TCTCTGCTTGGCTCATGTAGTTCTATTCTAAAAAGTTCTACTTCTACCCATGAAGGCCCTATTCCGTGAATACTATAGCTCCTCCAAGATGAACCAGCCCTAAACTCCCCAGCTTCCCTCAAGGCTCACAGCACAGTTTTTTATATTTCATCCCTCACTGTTCTATACCACGTGCTGGTTTTTTCCCTGTTAGTTCTACCTATAGAAGAGAGAAAGTGAGACTCAGTTCTTTTTCATCTCATGTAACCATTCCTCACAACAACTGCCATTTTGCTGAGCACAGAGCAGATGCTAAATAAATGTCACTTTTCCTTTACATGTTGTAAATGGATAGAAATTTAGAATTTCCAAAATTTTAATGTTATTGATTTAAAATAACAATTTTTTCTCATTACCAAAATACATTCTCATCATAGACTATTTGGCAAATAATGAAAAGGTAAACAAATAAAAATAACACGTAATTTCACTACCCAATGTTAATATTTTGGCCTATTTTCTCTTTTATATGTATATGGGAGAGAGGATTTTGAAGTAATTATTTTATGAATTAGCCAACATTTCCCTCTTGACATTATGCAAGAAATTTCCATACAATTAAAAATAAGTTTCATTTTTGTTGCCTGTAAAATATTCTGAAGTATATATTATATCATCATTCCCTTCAATGATGGACTTAAAGTTTCTTATGAATTTTCACTATAATAAATAATGTTGTGATAAATATCTTTATGCCTCTTTGTCCATATTTCTGATTACTTCCTCAGAAGTGGAATTACTGGAGGAAATGATCTGGAAAATGTATTTTAGACATAACAAACTGAAAGAGAGCATCAGCTTTGGAGCCTCACAGTCTGGATCCAATTATCAGTTCTCCATGTACTATCTGTCAAACATTAATAAAATCACTTTATCTCTTTGCATCTTAGTTTTGAAAGGCTGTTGCTGACCCACGAAAAGACGCCGGGATTCTTGGCCTCCAGAGAAGAATTCAATCCGGGGCCAGAAGCGAGGCTCGACTGCTCAGAGCTTTTGTGTAATAAAGTTTTATTAAAGTATAAAGGAGATAGAGAAAGCTTCTGACATGGGCATCAAAAGGGAGCAGAAAGAGTAACCCCCTGCTAGTGTTAGCCACGGCGTGATATACTCTCTAAACAGTTATTACAGTGAATCAAAAGAATGTCTGGAGATTATAAAGACCTCACTAGACCTACTCCAATAATTTACATTTTAAGATAACACGATTAGCCAGAAGGTTTTTTCCAGAGACTGGCCTCAAGCAGGACACATTATTGTTATATAACCCTAAGGAATGTAGAGGGAAGTTTGTCCTTTCTTCCCCCTTGAGAATTCCAGACCCCTCTTTCCTTGGGGACCACTGGACTTCTTATCAATCTGCCTAGGAACTGACTCTCTCAGTTTCATGATTTGTAAGTGAAGAGAGTACTTATTTCACGAGGTACTTAACAAGGATTAAATGAAATGTAATAAAATGCATATGCAATGTATTTCATAAATCAATCACTAGGTGGAGATGAAGGTTTATATTAATAATTCTAAAGGCGAAGTTCTAAAGCAATTCCCAGGCAGCAGCAGCATTTGGGAAGTTTCTGCACCCTCTGATTTCTCCTGTGGTATCCGAGAACTACTTAATCCCATCTCTGAGAGTGGGGCTCAATTATCTGTCCTAAGGAGTTCTGCAAGTGAGTCTTACACACACTGAAGTTTGAGAATCACTGAATTAATACATGTCCACATTTTTCTCTGATTTGCTGCCTGGGCAGAGAAAAGCCAAAAGACAATTAACACACAATACCAACTAGAATTTACAGAAGGTTAGTGAGTGCTATATAAATCTGTGCTTAATGATAAACATACACAATGGCATATATCCTTATTTTTATAAGATAGTTATTTTGTGAGATATTTTATGAGAGAACTATTTTTACTTCCATTTTTCAACCTGAAATTGAATAAACTTGACCGTTAGTGGCTTATCATTATTCCCTAAGTACTCTAAGCATAGAATACTCTAAGCTAGGCCATGGATTTACCCACCATACTACACTGCCACCCCCAAAGCCTGTCTTAGTATTCTTGCCCCACTCAATCATCAATGACTGGGAGCAGACCATGGAACCTCATACAAAGGCAAAGACAAAGCAGAGATTCCTTTCACAGCTGCTTCATCTGCATTGACTCCTTATGAATTCCTGCTAAATTTCTCACTTAAATGTATGAATGAAACTACTAGACAGCATATTTAAAAGCAGAGACATCACTCTGCCGACAAAAGTCCATATAGTAAAAGCTATGGTTTTTCCAGTAGTCACATACGGATGTGAAAAGGTCAGTTTTCATTCCAATCTCAAAGAAGGGCAATGGCAAAGAATATTCAAACTATTGCACAATTCCACTCATTTCACATGCTAGCAAAGTAATTCTCAAAATTCCCTAAATCAGGCTTCAACAGTACATGAACCAAGAACTTTCAGATGTTCAAACTGGATTTAGAAAAGCCAGAGGAACCAGAAATCAAACTGCTAACATCTGCTGGATCATAGAAAAAGCAAGAGAGTTCCAGAAAAACATCTAATTCTGCTTGACTACTCTAAAGCCTTTGACTGTATGGATCACAACAAACTGGAAAAATTCTTAAAGAGATAGGAATACCAGACCACCTTACCTGCCTCCTTTGCAGGAGAGAAGCAAGTTAAAACCAGACATGGAACAACAGACTGGTTCCAAACTGCGAAAGGAGTATGTCAATGCTGTATATCATCACCCTGCTTATTTAACTCATATGCAGAGTACATCAAGCGAAATGCTGGACTGGATGAAGTACAAGCTGGACTCAAGACTGCCGGGAGAAATGTCAATAACCTCACATATGCAGACGACACCACCCTTGTGGCACAAAGGGAAGAAGAACTAAAGAGCCTTGATGAAGGTGAAACAGGAGTGAAAAAGTTCGCTTAAAACTCAACATTCAAAAAACAAAGATCATGGCAAATAGATGGAGAAATAACGGAAACAGTGAGACTTTATTTTCTTGGGCTCCAAAATTACTGAAGATGGTGACTGCAGCCATGAAATTAAGATGCTTGCTCCTTGGAAGAGAAACTATGACCAACCTAGACAGCATATTAAAATGCAAAGACATTACTTTGCCAACAAAGGTCTGTCTAGTCAAAGCTATGGTTTTTCCTGTAGTCACATGAGATGTGGACCATCAAGAAGGCTGAAGGCCAAAGAACTGATGCTTTTGAGCTGTGGTGTTGGAGAAGAGTCTTGAGAGTCCATTGGACTGCAAGGAGATCAAACCAGTCAATCCTAAGGGGAATCAATCCTGAATATTCATTAGAAGGACTTAGGCTGAAGCTGAAACTCCAATACTTTGGCCACCTGATGTGAAGAGCCGACTCATTAGAAAAGAGCCTGATGCTGGGAAAGATTCAGGGCAGAGGAGAAGCGGTCGACAGAAAATGAGATGTTGGATGGCATCACCGATTCAATGGACATGAGTTTGAGCAAATTCCAAGAGATAGTGAAGGACAGGGAAGCCTGGTATGCTGCAATTCATGGGGTCGCAAAGAGTTGGACACAAGTGAGCAACTAAACAACAAACAGAAAAGGCTTTACTCACTCTTCAGTAGCTCTCATTTAAGAGTCACCAACTACTCTAGATTTATACTGAATGAGTTATTTCTTAATAAAGCACCTAGCCTAGTGCCTAGCAGTTGGTGTAAGTGTGAAATTGTTATTAATATGATAATCCTAGAGTATAATTAAATTTCACAAAGAAGGAAGATTTCCAGTTGGCATTTAATGAGGCAATTATACTGGAACAGAGATCTCTTCTATAAGAATCTTCAACATGGCCCCAAAAAGTTTTCCTGTTGGGTATGCAGAGAAACTAAGGCCAAGGTGGAAATAAAGCAGAGAAGCCTCTTCAGAAACAGTCTTCCTCTAAAAGTTTGCATCATAAGGAAAAAAAGAAACTGTAACTATATGAGGTGATGGATGTTAACTAAACTTATCATGGTAACCATTTCACAGTGGGTAAGTATGAGAAGTCCTTCTGTTGTATACATTAAAACATATCTAAATAAAACTGGGGAAGAAGTCTCCCATAAATTCTCAGAACATTTTGAAACCTTTCTTTGTTTTATGCAATTCTGCCAAGTAACTGTAATTATACACATGTCTTTTTTCCTCATCTAAGCTGTACTCATAATTCATCCATTCAACAAATATTTATTGAGCTCCATTACACACCAGACACCCTTCCACCCTTCCCAGTGCTGGGGACATATCAATGGGCAAAATAAAAATGACTGTCTTTGTGGAGCTTATGCAGTGTTAGGGGAGACAACATAAACATAATATATAAGTAAATTATGTAGTCTGCCAGAGGGTGATAAGTACATGGGGTGGAATAAACCAAGATAAGGAAATGGGATTCGCAATTTTTTAAAAGTGGTCAGGATGAGTTTCGTGGAGAAAATCATCACCAAAATGAACTGGGGTCCAACTGAGCAGAGTTCTAGAAAGTGAGTGGTGACAGTGACTATCACAGCTCAATCACCAAAAACCTAGCAGAGTTCCCTGTATGTAGTAAATAATCAATAATTGTTTGCTGATTAAATAAAGTTCAAGGTCTTGTCTTAAACAACATACCAAATTGAAGACTGGACAAGAATGATTTGTCTTTAGCATGTCAAAACTATGATTCCTACTGAAGCACCAGTGTCAGAACCTTATCCCTAAAAGAAAACACTAATCAGTATGAGCACAGTGGAAGTTATTAAAAATGACTATTACCCTTGGGGGAAAAAAAGAAAACATAACAATGTCTCTTCAAGCAACTGATTTTACTAATCAGCCTCTCATTATTTTAAATTCAGAGTCAGCATTTACTTTCCACAGTACCCTTATATATTTATGCCAAATTGGTCTTGACTTTCTGCCATAAAGTTTATGTGCCATGATAAACATACTTGTCAGAAGGGACTTTGTCTTTTTATTTAATTTTAGGTATAAAATGACAAAGCTATCTCAAATATCATGTTTGAACTTAGTGATTAATGCATAATTGGATCATACTTACAACCTGTTTCTCAGTAATAAATTATATTTTAGCATACATACAGGAAAGTTAACACAAGCAAACTTTTTTCCAATAAATTATTTCACGCAGGTATATGCTTATGAATCTATTTAATTGTTCAAACTGTGCTAGAGAATACATATTTTGGAGTACATAATTTGTTAGATTTAGTTACAACAGAGGTGATTTCAATGGGAATTTCTTATACTGTTCTACTTATCAAAAAATTTTTATTAAAAAATATCCATATCATTTGCTCCCAAATGTTATGTCAAAATATATTTTTCAATTATACATTTAATTATGTCACTTTCAGCTAATTTCATAAATATTAGAGATCTAATTTTAAATTATTTTATGAATATTTCCAAAACATGTTTTCTAATTATTTTTCTAGTGAAGACAAATAATTGACCCATATTTACACATAAATATTCTCTGCACAGTGATTTTTTTAAGAGACTAGTATGGAAAGTGCAAAGCTCAGGCTCTCTAGGGCAAAGCCAAAAAAAAAAAGCAAAATTTAATTATGCCTCCTGATTTTTTACTTTTTGAATTTTACTTTCTCCCCTCGTCTATTTTTTAAATGCTAGAAATTTACCTTAAAAACGTAACAGTGTTACTATTTCAATTATTTGCCAGTGGTAGGGGTGGGGTAGTTTATTTTATATTATCCCCCCCAAAAAAATCATGGTTTCAAATTCATCAGGAGTAAATATATTAACTACCTGGGATCAAAATGGAGAGCCCTTCAAGATAAGCAGTTGTGCAGTCAGCATGACTTGAATTAGTCAGGATAGCAGGAATCTGGGGTCAGAGCTGTTTCCACCATTTTGGTCTGACCACGATAATTAAGTTTGATCCTGTTGGTGTAGCACTTGTTTCTGTCATAGGTGTAACAGGTCTCAATGTCTCTATCACAGATATTGCTCTGGCTGGCAGTAACTACTTGATCTTCCAGCTCCACTTCTGTAGAGTCACATTTTTTGCACCTGAAAAACAAATACACACATTAGACACTCCCCATCAAACGTTGTCTCAGAATCTGAGTGACTATACATTTCTATCCAAAATCAGTTAGTTCTGACAAAGGATGACTCCTTTCAGACTTCAACTTCTCTATAATACAGAATTATTTATGTGATTTTTTCAACCTTTAACTGAAAGTAAGCAATAGAATTAATATATATGATTGTGTACACTATTCAGTAACTTCCACTCTGTTAAATTTATTCCCAACTGTATAGTAGGCTAAATTAATTATTTACAGTAATGAAGAAGGGAGGGGTTTTTTTTTATGTTGGAGTCTATGGTTTCCAAAGAAACACCTGCAAGTTAATGGGTCTGAATTATTGAACTAAAAAGACAAATTGGTCCTTCTTGTACTAGTGACAATAATTATTTCTTTAGAATATATTTAGAACTAATTTTTATTTATAAAATTTATGAATTTCTGATGGCTAATAATTAACATGGGCTTCCCTGGTGGCTCAGACAGTAAAGAATCCGCCCGCAATGCGGGAGACCTGGATTCAGTCCCTGGGTCGGGAAGATCCCCTGAAGGAGGGCATGGCAATCCACTCCAGTATTCCTGCCTGGAAAATCCCCATGGACAGAGAGGCCTGACAGGCTACAGTCCATGGGGTTGCAAAGAGTCAGACACAACTGAGTGACTAAGGACAGGACAGCACAGCACTAATTAACATATGAATTAATGTATTCAAAAGTTCAAATGATATTGGTATATGTTTGTACCCCAATATGTTTTCAAAAACATTCTTACTAACAAGTTTAATGAAAAGTTATTGACTTAGGTATCTTTATTAGTGTGAAGGAAAATCTCTTACAGGTCAGACAAATGGTACACAAACTTGGTTCTCATTGGTGAGGTAGGATCAGAGATATTCTCCCTGCTGTTCAGAGGAACACTAAAAAAAAGAAAAAAAGAAAATGAAGAATAATGAAATTAGCAGATACTGCTGTTTTTGGTAATAGGTATATTGCTAGGACAGTACTTACTACTTCATTCAGACATTTAGGACATTTATAGCTCTCTATAAACACTCTTTAGTAACACTATTACTCATATTTCACAGTAATTGCTACATTTTAAACAATTTCATTCAAAATAAACCTCACAACAACTCCTGTCAATTATCTTTACTTGGTAAATCCCTGCTTTTCCTTTAAAAATAAGCTCAAGTTTTACTTTCTTTGTGATTTTTACCTCGATCCCATTTCCATCCCTCAATAAACTTCTCATCTGTAGTCTCATTAATATTTCATATACCTTTACTATACTGCCATATTATAGTTGCTTACCTACACAATAGCTATTTCTAGATTCTATAAATTCCTTGAGCCAAAAACATTTACACATCCCAGTGCCTTGCTATAGGTGTGACATATAGAATATGTCCAATATTTGTGAATGAATGGACAGACATATACTAAAGATCACATTTTAGAAATGTGGTAATTACGAATCAGAGAGGTTGGTGACCTACCCAAGTTCACACAAGTACTAAGAAGTAAAGCTGGAATTGGAATTCAGACTTTTTGAGTTGGAGGTCTTCCATGAAAACTTAGATAACATATCAACTAGTTCAGGCGATTTCATTAACTTTACATTTTTTCATCTATGTCATCATTCCTCTTGATATGCACTGCTCCCTACCAAAAGATCCCCAAAAACCTCAGGTTTTCCTAACTCAGTATTTACCAATATTATCCACATATATATACAAGTTAAAAAGTTGGATTCTGTCCCTCAGTCTTCCCTCTCTGTCACCACCTAGGTCTAAATCCATCTCACAGTTCAACTGACTCTAATACTTTGCATCTTTGAACTTGATTCAGGACACCACCCTTCTCTCCTAATTGTAGCATTACCTTCCTTCAGTCATGACCCCTCCCATGCGTTGGCCACATTATTGCCAGAACAGTCTTTTTAAACTATGAGCCTAATTTCCTTCTCTGCTTAAAGCCTACATTGTTTCCCCACAGAAAACAAGGTATCAATAAAATGGCATAGAAGGCACTGCAGGATGCACCTCTAACTCCCCAGCCTCATCTCTCACCACACCACCTCTTTACACCATGTGTCAGATGTAAACAACTGTTTGCTATCATACAAAACTTCCCAGGATATTCTCATCTCTAAGTGCTAAAGATAACAAAAACAGTAATAGCCCTAACATCTGTGGCTTGGATGGTAAAGCGTCTACCTACAATGTGGGAAACCCAGGTTCAATCCCTGGGTTGGAAGATCCTCTGGAGAAGGAAATGGCAACCCACTCCAGTACTCTTGCCTGGAAAATCCCATGGACAGAGGAGTGTGGTAGGCTACAGTCCATGGAATGCAAAGAGTCAGACATGACTGAGCGACTTCACTTTCACTTTACTAAAAAGTTTGTGCCTGGTACTATGATGAACACATTAACATGATGATCTCATAAAACTGTCACAGAAACTGTTTCCTTTTCTTGGAATTATCTGCTACCCCTATCAACTCTGTCATCACCCACACACATTTCTACCACTTACTCCAAATACCCTCTCCGGCCTCCCCCTGACTCTCTCCCACTTTCCCCAGGGACCCCTCCCTTGTGCTTCTATAACGTCCTATACCTATTCCTGTCACAGCATTTACAATACTGCATTGTAATTGCCTTTCAATTATTTACAGTTCCCTACTAGACTGTAAATTCTTTGATGGCAAGGACTGTGTTTTATATAAATTATTGTATCCCCAGCTCCAATCCTCAGTGGCTTTCAGAAGCACTCGATAAATGTTTGTCAAATTAATAAATGAATGAATGAACATATCTATTCTTTATTACATTACAAAATCTCTAGTAATACCAGAAAATGCTTTAAATAATGAGAAAAGTAAGAGAACAGACACACCACACATGAGTATTTCACGGGGGGCTACTGTTCTAAGTGCTTTTATATATTATCATATTTAATCCTCACAACCCTACGATGTGTATATATACATACCTACATATATCCCTTTTTTTAGTTTAGGGAACAGACTCAAACTAGTTAAGTAACTTGCCCAAAGTCATATCATCATTAAGTGATGGAGTTGGGAATAATGCCATAATGACACAGCAATGATAACAGAACTTTCAGAAATAAGGTTAAAGAAGCATCAATATATGTCAGGGAAATGGCATGAAGTTACTGAACTGCCTGATTTCACTAAACATAATATCATAGAAAGGATCATGTCATTAAAAAAAAAGATAAATCAGAGAATCCCGGAGTATCATTTCAAATCTGCCCTTGGACATTTAAATATGAGAGACTTATACTGAAGAGACTCCTCTTCAACACTATTTAGGTGCCAGTGTCATTGATGCCATTCTGTTAAGATACATGCTTCTCCAATTATTCTATCCTTAACAGGGAACTGGGGCTTCCCTTGTAGCTCAGTCGGTAAAGAATCTGCCTGCAGTGCAGGGGACCCAGGTTCAATCCCTGGGTTGGGAAGATCCCCTGGAGAAGGAAATGGCAACCCACTTCAGCATCCTTGCCTGGAAAATCTCATGGACACAGGAGCCTGGTGGGCTGCAGTCCATGGGGTCACAAAGAGTCGGGCACGACTGAGTGACTAACACTTACTTACTTACTTAACAGGGAACTAAATGGTATGGACTTGAGTGGTCAAAGAAAACTTGCTCAAGGAAGTGATGTCTAAGCTAAGACATGCAGGCTGAGGAGTTAACCAGCCTAAGAGGGGTGCAAGAAAGAGTCCTTCAAGCAGAGGAATAGATTATGCAAAAGCAGAAGAGGAAGAAAGAGGTACTGCAACATACTGATTTTTCAAACATAAGGTGAAAAAGAAGTGGCCATGGAAGAGCTTGAGAGTTATGCTGAGCACTGTAGGTTAGGCTGAAACATTCATAATTTATCCTAGTAACAACATTGGGGGTACCAGCAAAAGGATTTTAAGAAGGGTAGTGGCATAATGATAACTGGCACACAGGTTAGGTGAATAAATAACAGTAAATATTTTTTGAAAATGTGCCAGGAACTACATAGTCTTTAAAAGGAATAGATCTCAATTTATCTTTACAATAACCCTATGAATACATATTATTTTCCTATTAATATTTAGAGATGAGAAAGTTTAAGTTTAGAAGGGTTAAGTAACTAGCATACCATAGCACATAGCTACTAATATTTAGTGACAACCAGAACTCAAAACAAATTCTTAAGCATATTATACTTCTCCTATTGATTACATGGGATTGAATGCTATATTCTGTTTCAATAAGAGGTATTTGATTCAGGAGGGAAACTACTGAAAGTAGTAGAAGTACTTCACAAGAGAGACATTAATGACTGGATCCAATAGAAATCTCAGTTCTTAAATATTATTAGTGTTTTTGCTGTTGAATACGACTCATAGCTTATAACTTAAGACTATGTGTGAAATGAAATGAGTATCTGAAGTCCAATACACAAATGGAGATGAAATCAATGTAGCAAATTTAATTAGTCTACCTTACTTTTATGCAGACAGATGAAGTTGAACACAAGGTGAAGAACTTTGTGGTCCATATATGGTGCAAAACAAGCCCTTCAAAATTATCTCAAGTTTCACTTTGAACTGATAAAGAGCAACTGTAAGTTCTGATTCAAACTGAAATAACTCCATATAAACAGGGCATGTTGATGACTAGATCCGAACCTCCAGTTATTATTGGATGTAGCTGACTGGTTTTAGGTTGCCTGCAAACCTCTGTCTCTGCTCCCAACTACATAATTGGCTTAAGCCCATTACCCCGATTCAACCTCATGTAAGCTGTTATACTTAGGCTTCCCAGGTGGCACTAGTGGTAAAGAACCCGCCTGTCAATGCAGGAGACACAAGAAACGTGGGTTCTATCTCTGGGTTGGGAAGACGCCCTGGAGGAGGAAATGGCAACCCACTCCAGTATTCTTGCATGGAGAATCCCATGAACAGAGGAGCGTGACAGGCTACAGTCCAAGGGGTCACAAGAGTTAGAAATGACTTAGCAACTAAACAACCACCACATCAAGGTGTTACCCACTGAAAAGAGGAGCAAAGATATAGGTATCACATGCAAACGACCACTAATATCAGAAAGTATCTGCTCACAAAATGAAAAAATGAAGCATGAAATACCACATACATAATTCTGATGTTTCTCTCCACAATGTCTTGACTAGGATCTTCAGCAGAAGGGATGATCCTGGAAGTAATCCGGGCACACTTACATTTGTTGTCAACAAGAACAATCCTTTCATTTTCATCTTGGGCTTGAAAGATAAATATTATAAGAAGAAAGGTAACCAAAAGTCTAATTTCATACTTAGTATCAAGTTAATTTATCACCCTCCCCAGCAGAAAAAGTTTTTTGGCTGATCAATTTCAGCTTTCTCCATTTGTTCTCTTTCCTAACCTAAAGGAGCTAAGTGGAATCTCACAGCATAGTGAAGGAAATACAAATGAATTCCAAAAGGAATTTTCTCACTTTTCCTTGGACCAGTCTATGGGAACCTGAACTGAAAAAATTCTGGTTTTAATCAAATGCTTTTAATGGAGGCACAACCCTCTGAATGATAGAGCTTTGTAAAAAAAAAAATTAGTGCCAAATGCCAAAATGAGAGAGAAAACAAACATCTAGACTGAATTTCTCTCAGACTAGAGAAATTTATCCAAAAGTGAACAAGTAAACCAGTTTTTTATGATAAAAACACCCTTCCTGAACACCCATTCATACTTTTTTCCCTTATGCTAAGAACATGCACATTTTCCCCAAGATAACCTTATTTTGTAAGACTTTAAAATTCTCCATTAAAATTTTCCTGAACTTAATTATATTCTTCCTTTTCATAATAACAATCAGGTTATCATGGCATAATGATTTAATCCATTAAGTTCTATATTTATTAATATTTCTTATAAGACTTATTTTTAAAGATATAGTATCTATAGATGTAAAGTGCTATAAACTTGCTAAAACAGCTTAGAATATGTTGTTAGGTACAAGTTCTATTTCATATAACATGCATGTGTACAGAAAAAAATAACAAATGAGTGAATATACAAATAACTATTAAAACCGTAACTGTAAATGTCAACATTTACTGTCCAACCTGAATATGAGATAAAATGTCTGGTAAGTGTCGCAAAGAATTAACAAAATTTCTTATCATCTGGACTTAGATCAACTAACATATATTTGAGGAAGTAACAATAAATAACTTTATTTAATAGTGATAATTAAACAATAATAATGATGTTAAGTATCTTTTTCATTCCTATAATTTTAGCTAAGTGAGCTTTAAAATTTCCTTCCATCAAATCTCAATTTTAAAAAAAAGACTTAGCACATGAATTCAAGTTATAAAGGTTAAATGATAAGGAAATAAATTGTAACTGGACATCAAATTATTCCACAGATGATCTCAGAGCAGAAAGGATCTAACTACAGTATTTCAGTCTTAATGATACAGTCATTACAAAAACAATTTAAGATCATTGTTATGGTACTTATAATTGTTTTAAGTACTTTATAATGCATTATTATGTCATTATTCATAAGTTCTTGATAAATCATCTGACAAAAGTCTTATGGCATTGGAGAAAAACCATTATGAAGTCAATTTAAAATAATGATATAATTCTTAATTTTTTTAAAAGAGTAAGAATATTTAAAAGGTATCCTCTTCCCTACTCCTGTATTAGTGACTTTTAAATGTTTTTCTCATTAAAATACAAATAAGCAGGCAATACCTGACCAAAAATATAGGTGGGAGTTGAGTATGTGACTTGACTATTAAGTCTTAAATAGAAAATATATATGTTTTGTTTATGGCACATATTATATTTTCTTGCCAGAAACCTAGGGGGGAAATATCTTTACTGTTATTATATAAGAATACTAGGTAGCCTAATATACCTACCAGGAAAACATAAAAATACATTCAATTCACCAAGACTTATAAGAGTCTAACTTCTGTTTCATCAACAGGAAATATTTTTCCTAATACACCTGTTATTATAGACTATGCCTTACTTTATTCCAAGAGCACCTGAAACAGAGTAGGTGGCTCAATAAATATTTGTTAAACAACTTAATTCAGTTCAAGTAAGAAAACAGACTTAACACATACTAGTTATGAATGTAAAGAGTTTACCAAAAAGGTGATTCTCTCATACAGGGAGAACAGGAGACTAGATAGGAGTGTGGGCTATGGTGTCAGATGGCCTGAGCTCCACCTACCACATGCCTGTCGTGTGACCTTAGGCAAGTTACTTCACCTCTTTAAACTTCAATGGGCTCAAGGATATGTCAGAAATAATGAGAGCACTTACCCTCAAACGGTTACTGTGAGAATTAAATGGAACAGAATATGTAAAGCAGTTAGCATAATGTCTAGAATATAGTATGTACTCAATAAGTTACAGCTCTTTTATATATAAATGGCTATATATGTTCCATGGATATGTTTATAGGTATATAAATATGTTCATAAACACATATATTTTTATATATAGGTACATATATTATATACAGTTTACTACTGCTATCTTTATGTTTTAAATATTATTAGAAATTCATTATTCTTAATACTAAATTAGTGAAAAGTATATGTAAAATCACTATTCTTAATTACATTATACTGCCCTGAAATAATAAGCTCAAAAAAAAAGGAATAAACTCAGTAAGTCTTAAAACAATATATATCAAATTATATCATTTCTAATTCACATACCCTTCTAGATGAAGATTATTAAAACTATACTTTTATATTCAGAAAATAATCCATTTTCTACAATAGTTTGAAAAGTTAATAAACAAGATAACTGAAGTTCAACCATCAAGTTCCAGGAAATCTGTACAACATTAAACATTGTTAAAGGGTCATAATAAATTTGTAGGCTTGGATCCAGGAAAGTTATTGGAACTAATACCAGCCTCTCTGGGGAAATAAAATCCCAATCCACTCTATACTGTATTTACAACAATTATTACTTCATTTCTCCAGAATATAAATTTGAGACACTCAAGGAGAGAATTCTGATTTTCAAGATTCAATATGGGTATTTGTAGAGTATAACTATCTATACTTATCTAAAAATTATCTATTTTCTTATTTTCTAGGTTTTAATAGGCAGACATGTAAGAGAAAAAAGAATAAAAAGAATTACAATGAATCTTGTCCATGTTAAAGACCACTGCCCATACAAAGATTAAGACATGTTAGAAAAACAGCCAGCTAGCTGTCCAACCAAAACACAAACATAGATGTTTAATCTGAAGAACAGATCTGTATTCTATTTTCCCTTTTATCTGGGTTCATGCTCAAAATATCACATACCTGTCGCAAGAACAGCCTTAACAAAAATGGCCAGGACTCCCCAAAAAAGCAAACAATTCTTCATCTTGACTTCACTTCTTTTGAAAAACTGGAGCTAAGAAGTCAGGGTTAAGGTGTGTGATCTATAAGGAGTGTGCAAATGATGGGGCTTCTGCTTTCTTAAAATAACACTCCAGGCAGCTAACAAACTAAGATCACAACTGCGGTTGAACTCTGCAATTTAAATGCTGCACTGGAAATATATTATGGCTCAGATTTACGTAGTTTCTTCCAAAATATCCCCCAAAACTATGTTCTGGTGCAATCACTTTTTATTTTACATTTATTCTATATAATTAAATCCAAAGATTAATCATTTCAAGGCATGAACCCATTAAGAATGTTCAAACAGGGATTCTCAACGTTATTACCTAGATAATAACATATTCAAATGAAATATAATATGGTGTTTGTTGTACCTGGAAAAATTAATGAAGTAGAGAGAAGGAAAAGGAAAGAATTAAAGCCCTTTAAGGTTCCAATTGTATTTTATGTCAACTTTTTCTTTTAGTCCTTACTTACCCAAGCTACCAGGTTTAACACATAAGTTACGGGTTATGTCTATACATATATTATCTCATTACGTTCAGTTATTTCATAAATTCAAACTTGCAGTTAGAAACTGTTGGCTGCTGGATATCAGCTGCCATGTTTCAATTTGACAGTATTAAAGCAGACCCTGTATTTGCTTACCCAATCATACCTTTCAGAATTGTAAACCCATGAAACAATGCTCGTTTGAGATGCCTCAACAGAAAACTGAATCACTGCAGTATTTCTTATAATTTTTTTCATTAATTAATGTCAAAAAAACAAACAAACCAAAACTGTGATCTTTCATATAGAGCATCTCCCTACCTCCTACCGCAACAGGCTAGAATAATGTCTCTTGAGCAGGGTTGGTTCCAAGAACATGCTGGTTATTTTTATATACAATATCAAATCTACGCTACTTTTGGTTTTCAGCTCTCTGATTTTTTAAGGATCACCTAGAATTTTTTTTTAGACCAGAGTAAATAACAAACATTTACTGGTGTCACTTATGGTAGAAAAAAGTTCCTACACCAGATACACATGACCCAGTTGTTAAATAGAACATTTTCAAGGTGAACACACGCCCTAACCCAGCTTTTTTTTTTTTAACCCACTTTTGATGACAGCCAATTCCTCCTTGCCCCCCCACCCCAAGACATGTGAGCAACTGCTAATGAAAAGCAGTAAACAGCCACTTGGGCTATAGCATTTTCAACTCCACTCCAAGGTGAAGATTCCCATTACATTCAAGACTTAAGTTCTCTCAATTTTCTCCTAATGAAAGTTCCTGAGTCCAGTATTTACAATATTACAGCACTAGCAGAGCAGTGTCTACAACTCATCTTTGTCTGCTGCTTCGTCCTCATTGGTTGTGGGAGGATCACCTAGAATTTTGACAGTTACTAAAGAAATACTTCAGGGTAAGTAGGCAAGTGGGCTTAACAGCTGGAAGCAAAAAAATTGCAGAATGAATGTTATTAAAAGCCAGCACACAACTGTACTCCTTTAATTAACATGTACTGAGTGACTAGAAAGAATAAAGTGCCAAGCACTAGAATACACAATATTATTGCACTGTCAAACCTTACTCTCACCTTAGTTTCTACCTTCATAGTACTTAGAAACTATTCGGGGTTAAGAAAAATATACCAGATTCACATGAATAATTATAACTGTTAGAAAAATAAACATCTGAAAGCTCATTATTTTAGTGTGTGGTCAGGATGTCAAAATAACTGTCAACCACTTAAAAGTCTTAAGTGTTTTGACATCTAATTGTTTTGACATCTGAATAACTGATTTATTATAACACTCAAAAAAAACCCACAGTAAATAGAAGTTAGCTGGATACATTTTTAAGTCATTATTTCCTTGAAAAATAAACTCTGGGGTAGACTGCCTTCTCAAAGCAAGTTGGATAAATTCCTGGAGACAAATTAAAACTCCCCCCTGGAAACTTATTTTTTATAAGAGCAAATATTGACATATATTTACTAAGCTAAAGAAACACTCTGTATTTGATATTTTTATTCTTCCAAACTTATAGCTTTGTAATTCTATTATATAATCCATGCATCTATAAGAAATTATTTTAATAAAGTGTGGACAGTGCCAAGTAGCACTTCTGCCACCAGACAAGAGTTATTTACACACATAATCTAGGGTCAGGACAAGTGTTCTGTCAAGTGTGGTACAGGATTACTTGAAGTATTAGTCAAAATACACACTTTTTGGCTACACTCAACCAGAACCTTGGGAGATATGTTCTTGAAATGTGTATTTTTAAAAACGCTTCCAGTTGATTCTGATGTACACGAAAATTTGAAAATTGGTAAACTAAGAAGCCTGTGGAGGAGAAGAGTAACCAGGAGCATTAACTACGGAAGAGCAAGAAGTTAACAAAGGTAATTTCTTTTTAACAAATGGGCTTACACTGAAAATTACTTAACTTAGGCTTCTATTTATCTGTATCTATGTTTTACAGGTGAATTGTCTCATAACCTGCTCAGTTCAGTTCAGTCACTCAGTCATGTCTGACTCTTTGCGACCCCATGAACTGCAGCATACCAGGCCTCCCTGTCCATCAACAACTCCTGGAGTCCACCGAAGCCCATGTCCATTGAGTCGGTGATGCCATCCAACCATCTCATCCTCTGTCATCACCTTCTCCTCCTGCCCTCAATCTTTCCCAGCATCAGGGTCTTTTCCAATGAGTCAGCTCTTTGCATCAGGTGGCCAAAGTATTGGAGTTTCAGCTTCAACATCAGTCCTTCCAATGAACACCCAGGACTGATCTCCTTTAAAATGGACTGGTTGGATCTCCTTGCAGTCCAAGGGACTCTCAAGAGTCTTCTCCAACCACAGTTCAAAAGCCTTTTCAGGAGGTCTGGTTTAATTTTTAAAGTACTTCATCTCTGGTTTTGTTCTTCCCACCGAAAAAATGTGAAATGTAAATAGTTTCATTTAAGTAAGTTAAATAATTGGAAGCTTGGCTCAATGTTCTAAATTTTTCACCAAAAATGGTTTATTTTTCCACACACATATAAAATTCTTACAGTAAGATTTTCAGTGATAGATTCATTTGAATGAAAGAGATCTTATGGTGATTTAGTCTCACCTTCTCTACTCCCGCTCAAGTTTTGTTTCAATTTCCTATCAGCAGACAGGCTGAGTTTAGAAAACCGTCTGAAAAAGGTCAATGCTTCACTTCCTCTGTACATAGCTTATTATATTCAGGATACTCAAATCATGAAAAAAACACTTGATTCTCTTGAGACATAGAAAATACCCTCTTCTTGTTGTCTTACTATCTCACTGACAACTCCTGTTCAGGATCTTGCTGAATTTTCCTTTGAATCTTAAGGTTGATTCTCAGCCTTCTCTTTTCTCTTATCCTCTCCTTAACTGATTTTATCTTATCCCATGGCTTTGAATATAAGACACGCTGTGACCTTCAGATGTGTGACTGCAGACTTCATCTTGCCCACTGAGCTGCAAACTCCTGTATCCAACTTTCTTCACTGGGCAGTCTAAAAGGTATCTAAAACTTAACCAGGCAAAAATAGTACTCTTGATGACCAAGCCACCCTCACACTTCCACTCCAATCTCTCTCTGTCTCTGCTCTTCCTCATCTCTGTAAATGGCACCTCCAATCTACCACCTCCATCTAGGCTGCTCAAGGCAAAATCTTCTTTAATCCATTTCTGTTCTTCTCCCTCACATTCAATTTATCACCATGTCTTACTTGGTTTTATTTCCAAAATACACCCCCAATTTATCTAATTCTCTCTGTTTTCACTGCCACTCTAGTTCAAGCCTCCATCCTCTTTCCTAAAACTATTAAAATAGCCTCGTAATAAAAAGTGATTTTTTTGCTCCAGAATTGGCAATGAGGGCTCACAGCTAAAAGGCAAAAGTACCTTAAATTCTATAGAGTTACAGCTTTCCTCCAAGACTTAACAAGAAGCAACAGAACTCAACTTAACTGCTATCAATGCCAGGGTACTCCTAGCTACCTCCTCCAGTCCTTAGAGAACTTTGGAGGGAAAAGAGGAATGCTATCAAAGAAGCTTATGGAAATAGCACAGTTTGTGGTAAGAGACTTTCCTCCTTTTACTTTTGAGAGAGGGCAGGATAAGGTTTTCTTTTCTCCCCGAAGTAAAGTGAGGGAGAGGATCAAGAAAATAATGAAATCAGGGGCCCTGCAAGAAGGGGATATTTAGAAACAATATATATAATAATTCAGAGAAAAGTTTCTGAGTCTAACTGCTTGGGTTTACCATGCAATCCACCACTTATTAGTTGTGTGACACGAGGCAAACCTTGGTCAAAGTGCTTGACCTCTATGTTTCAATTCCCCTCACTATAAAATGACATAACATGTATTTCACAGAATTGTTGTGAGACTTAACATATACTGCCACATATAAAGAAGTCAGATCTTGGCATATGGTAAGTGCTCTATCAGTTCAGTTCAGCTCAGTCACTCAGTCATGTCTAACTCTTTGTGACCTCATGGACTGCAGCACACCAGGCTTCCCTGTCTATCACCAACTCCCGGAGCTTGCTCAAACTCCTGTCCATTGAGTTGGTGATGCCATCCAACCAACTCATCCTCTGTCGTCCCCTTCTCCTCCCATCTTCAATCCTTCCCAGCATCAGGGTCTTTTCAAATGAGTCAGCTCTCCGCATCAGGTGGCAAAGTATTGGAGTTTCAGCTTCAGCATCAGTCCTTCCAATGAATATTCAGGACTGATTTCCTTTCGGAAAGACTGCTTGGACGTCCTTGCAGTCCAAGGGACTCTCAAGAGTCTTCTCCAACATCACAGTTCAAAAGCATCAATTCTTTGGTGCTCAGCTTTCTTTATGGTCCAGCTCTCACATTTGTACATGACTACAGGAAAAACCATAGCTTTGACTAGATGGACCTTTGTCAGCAAAGTAATGTCTCCGCTTTTTAGTGCTATATAGGTACTAGTGATTAGTATCATCATCATAACCATTATCACCAGCATTATGTTGGTCACTACTTGCTGGGTTGCATAAAATGCAAATCGAACTTGGGGCTCTTGACTGCAATGAAATTTAAGGAAAACACTCCTGGGAGAGCCTGACATATCCCTTTGGGGTTGCAGGCATGTAGGAACATAGAAACTGATATGGGCTTCTGTCACATGACCCTTATAAGGTATGTATGAAAATATCCAACAAACCTATAGGAGTAATCAAAACAGTAGGGCACTGGCATGAAAAAAAAACAGACAACTGGAACAGAAGGGAGAACCCCAAAA